AGGTCCATAATCCTATCACCCGGGTGTCGGAGGCAGGAGGATCCAAGATCAAAGTTAGCCTCAGCTATACAGCAAGTTCAAGGCCAGCCTAGGATGCATAAAATAGGGAGGGGGAGTTACAAAGAAAGAAAACATATATACTCAGCAAAGGAGATACGTGGTAGGCCTAGGAAGGAATCTGAAGGGTTCACTTGAGGTAACCTCTATGAGAGGGGAAGGAAGGACAGGAAGGGGGAAGTGTGCGTGTGCTGTGTATGCGTGGTGAGCACCAGCCCACCCAGGTCCTCCAAAATAAAAGTGGTCCTTAAAGGAGCCAGTGTTAGGCAGACATTCAATGCCCCTATAACACTGTCTTGTTCAGTAGACTCCCTGAGAAGACTGTCACCTCCATTCAAAGACTGCAGTGGACCTGAAGGCGTTAACAGCTGGCTGAATGCTCACAACTCCACAGGATCCCACAGCTGGCCTCTGAGTCCTGCCCAAGAAGAAGAACCGAACACCACATCTCCATCATCAGATGCTGCCTTGCCTCTCCATGTCTGCCACAGGGACCATCTGTGTAGGAGGACAGAGAGCACCGTTCTGAAAACAAGGCTAGAAATCTAGTTGTGTCCATAAGGGACCCAGTGAGAGTTTATATCCAGCACCCTACTTGTGGAGAGGGGGGCTATGTTGTACATCTGTGCCGTGACTCCTTCCCCCTCCAGATCTTCAATGGCGTTCATGTCACAACAGCAGCCTGAGAAACCAAGGAGAGGATGACTGTGTGGCTGCCAGCAGCTTAGCCCTGCCCTAGAGCCTGCACCTCAGCTCCCATATGGAAATCACACAAAGACCAAAATCCTAGAGTTTCCAGGCGTGGCCGGAAGCAGAGCGCACAGAGGCACCGCCTGCTGGACAGCCCCCACCCCCAAATGCGGGTAAAGAAAGCAGCCCAGAGCCCATGAAAGCATGCCTGACCCATGAGAGCCTTCTACACTGGGCTGTGGAAATCCCTGAAACAGATCACAAAGAGACTAGATAGATGGTTGCCAAACAGTATTCCCAAACAACTGCCTAAATATAGGACATGAGAGAAAAAAATTAGAAAAGAGAAATTTAATGAGTTTTACAAAAAGTTTTAAATGGTACATAGGACAATATTTTTACAAAGCTAATAACCCAGACCCTTAAGTAGGCAAAAATGTATCTGTCTCTAGCAATTATAGATCCAGTCACTGTCTTGTTTGAGGGTTTTTGTTTGGGGGGGCACGTCATCTTGTTAGTGAAGGTATATTTGTTCATTTATAGTTTGGGATTGTTTATTTCTATTTACTTTTTATTTATTTTTGGTCTTTTGAAACAGGACCTCACTGTGTAGCCCTGGATAACCTCAGATTCCTGGTGATCCTCCTGTCTCTACCTCCTATGAGCCAGAGGTGTGTGGCCCACCTCGTCTAGCCATTTGGTGGTGGTGGTGGTGGTGGTGGTGGTGGTGGTGGTGGTGGTGGTGGTGGTGGTGGTGGTAGTGGTGGTGGTGATTGTTTAAAGCTAATTAGCTACCAATATTTTAAAAATAAAATATCTGGTATTAAACCCAGATTCCTAGCTTTTTAATTTCATGGGACCTATAATCCCCGTGGACTCCTGTGGCATGTCGATATTTGCCACAGAACTTAAGTCATCAGTGGTTTAACCTACTATATGTTCTGTGCATCACTGAAATGAGTGGTAGGTAAAAACACCTTTAAATGAAAACTAGCCTTCAATCCCAGCACTCAAGATGATCTCTGTGAGTTCAAGGCCATGCTAGTCAACATAGTAAGTACCAGACAAGCTAGGCCTACATAGGAAGCCCTATGTCTCAAAAAGGAAAGAAAAGGAGGCAGAAAAAGGGGGGGAAAAATCCATCAAAACTGGTTAAATCTTTTCAAAGGAAATTTGACTTTCACCAGTTTGATCCACACTTCAAATATATGTGCACAAAGCATAACATAAGATGAATATATATATTATATATATAATATATATATATATAATCTGAGGCGGTTCAGTTGTAATATTGTTTGAAATAGCAAAGCACTGGAAACCACTAAAATGTTCATCCGTAGGAGACTGACTAAATATTACTCTGCGCAGACAATCCACACGGCAGGGTCCTGTGCAGCTATTTTTAAAAGTAAGGAATATAGCTCTATCAAAACATTCCCCAAGAAAATGTTTTAAGAAGTTGAAAGAAGAGGTAAAATAAAGAGAAAAAAAAAACTTGAACAATCTGAAAGATGGTATGTATAATGTCATCCCTCTTGTAAGAATGATTTTAATGTATATGGGTGTTTTGCCTGCATGCATATCTATGTACCACGGAGGCCAGAAAAGGACATCAGATGACATCTGATTCCCTGGGACTGGAGTTACAGACATGAGCTGCCATGTGGGTGCTGGGATGGAACTCAGGTCTTCTGGAAGAGCAGCCATTGTTCTTAACTACTGAGCCATCTCTCCAGCCCCTAACTTCTACTTTTCACACCTTTCCATTCATTGTTAAAACGATGACATATATCATAGTTGTAATTTAAAGAACGGATACTTTTTTTTTTTTTTTTTTTTGGTTTTTCGAGACAGGGTTTCTCTGTGTAGCTTTGCGCCTTTCCTGGAACTCGCTTTGGAGACCAGGCTGGCCTCGAACTCACAGAGATCCGCCTGGCTCTGCCTCCCAAGTGCTGGGATTAAAGGCGTGCGCCACCACCGCCCGGCCTAAGAACGGATATTTTAATGACTAAAACAAAAAACAGGGGCTACTCATGTGTAGAGTGCTTACCTAGCCCATACAAAACCCTGGTTTGATTCCTCAGCACCACAAGAAAACAAACAAAACCCAAAGATGCAGTGCTGTTAAAAGTAAAATTCTGTGTCAGAGGAAAATCACTGTCTATGGAAGTTAACTTGTGTGAAAATCCCATCGATGCTAGGACAGTAAAATGTAGCTCTTCAGCACTGACAGCGGCAGGCTGTCATGACTCCACCTGATTTCACATATGAAAATGCCAAGGCGCATGGCGCTCCATTAGAAACCGACAATGAGTTCATGAATATTTAAAGCGCCTGACACTTGATAGCACTTAGCGAGGCCTCCATACATAAGGCCGGTAACCCTCTTACCATAGTCCCCACTTGGCAGTTGTCCGGACCTCACATCAGCCCTTGCACATTGCCCAGTCCTGATTGGTCTCAATCAGGCCTGAGACAATGACCAACCTAGGATGCCTACTGCAAAAATCCATGCAAAACGCTCACGCCAGATGAAGTCTCTTCTGATCCCCTCATGCCATGAAGAAGATGGACGCCTAGCTCTCGATCTCAGGTATTTCCTCAGGAGAGGCAGAGGGTACCACCTCCTACAACAACTTCGCATCCTACTTCCCTCTTCCGAGAGGTAATCCCACACAAGTGTGGATCCCTGAAAAGATGCCCTATCCCGTCCTTCCGAGAGGTACTCTCACACAAGTGTGCATTCCCCGAAAAGATTCCTTACCCCGCCTTCAACAACCTCCTTAAGAACGGAAGCTTGAGACCGCACACTTCTTGCCTTCCTTCCGCCTTTTTCTCGTCACAGATGCCCTCCCTAACATCCCCTGTGCTCTTCTTAAAGACATGGTGCTAAAGGCCAAATTTCAGCCCTGCCCTAATGAAAGGGACACTCCACTAAAGACCAAATTTCAGCCCTGCCCTAATGGAGGGACGCTCCACTAAAGACCAAATTTCAGCCCTGCCCTAATGGAGGGACGCTCCACCACGAGGACCTGACTCTCTTTTCCCTGAATCTTTGTCTTCCTCATCATTACCATCCATCCCCATCCTCTGCCAGAAAAGCCCTGCAGGCCTGTCCCACCAAGGCAGGCTTTGAGAGCTCCTATTTCAGTAGCCTTCCGCCCCAAGGTCCCAGTTCCACATACAGGTGGAAAGTTAGCTCCAAACAGTGAGAGAGCACCTTATCACTAATTCATGAGGCTCAGACTGAGGGGCACCTGTCAGTCCTTCTCCTCCGACATGAGGCAAGCTGTCTTATTTCTTAGGATGCGCTGAGTAACACAACTGTAACTTCTCCGCAGAGATCCCCCCTCTCCATGGAGATCCCCCCCTCCGCCCATATAGCTAGTTCTTGATGGTTACACCCCTTGCTATCCATATGCAGCCCCCAGCACACCTGCTTTCTGCTTTGTCTTCTCAGCTTTATATGTGTGTATGTGTGTGTGTGTATACATAATTTGCGTGTCTATGAAATGATTCTTTTTTTGTTTGTCTTTATTTTGTTTTTTGAGACAGGGCTTCTCTGTGTAGTCCTGGCTGTCCTGGAACTCACTCTGTAGACCAGGAGGGCCTTGAACTCACAGAGATCTGCCTGCTTCTGCCTCCCAAGTGCTGAGATTAAAGGTGCAGTGTGCCACCATACCCGGCTATGCAATGATTCTTTAGGAAATACAAATTCTGTTAAACATCAAACCCCAGGAATGTATTTCACGGACTCGCTAACTGTGTATACTGCATAAGGTTGACAAGCCGGTGATTTCACCAACTAACAACACTTTTCTAAAACCACCCATCTGAGGTGGGCATGGTAGTGCAGGCCTTTCATCCCAGCACCTGGGAGGTAGACACAGGTGGATCTCTGTGTTGGAAGCCAATATGGTCTCCAGAAAGAGTTCAGGCCAGCCAGAACTACCCAGAGAAATCATGCCTCAAAAATAAACAAATAAATAATAAGTCCTCCACGGGCAGTCTCAAAATGTTCATTCACCCTTCGTGTGTGTGATGCATGTGTCTGTATACATGTGAGATGTGTGAGACGTATGTGTATGTCGATAGCAAGAAGGTAGACACACATAGTTGGTATTACAAAAGTTGTATTTTATTAAAATAGAGTCCTAAATTTATCTCCCCAAGGCTGCTCACCCGTAAGACTTATCGAGCTGAATGTCAGGTCCAGTCTCTAACAGAAGTCTCTGATTCAAGGGTCAGGATCCTGGGAGAGACTCTCCAGCCTCAGGGCAGATCAAGGTGGCATCTCTCCAGATATGCAGAGCAGGGCATTGCTCTTGGTCTCTACTTATATACTGCCCAGTGGGCGTAAGGATCCTAGGACTTTCTGGTTATCGTGAGTGAGTGATGTCAGTGGGTTCTGGTTATCAGGTGCAGCCTTGGGTGAAGTGGAGCTCCTAACTAAGCTATTTTTACAAGTGCAAAGGCTTATTTTTCTTTTCACTATGCTCATTACAGTGTGCTTATAGGGGTGGGGGCGTAGAGGTTTGCATATATGTGCATGTAGACACCAGAGGTCCACCACATAGAGGGCTTTCTATCACTCTCCATCTTACCTTTTTCTCGAAACAGGGTCCTGCACTGGGACTGGCGCTCACAGATTTAACAAGAGCAGCCAACCAGAAGCCTCAGCAATCAGCCCTGTCTGTCTCCCCAAAGCTAGGATTACAGCAGTTAGCTGACACACCCTTTTTATCTTGATACTGAGGATCCAAACTCAGGCCCGAGTGCTTGTTCAGGGAGCACTTTACCAAATGAGTTATCTCCGCAGATATATTATATATAATACAATACATCAAAGCATCCTCTACCAAAGCTCGCCCACCACCCCCTGCCCAAAAATGGTGTGCCGGCAGATGTGTGAGGAGCAGCTGGGGCACAGAAACGCCTGAGGGTTCCTCCTGGGAGGAGCTGTGGGCTGGCCCATAGGAAACTTGGACTGAGAACTTGTGTGAGTTCCAAGTGGGCCAGAGGGTAATGATCGACCAGGCGCGGGTGCCTGCAGGGAGCGCTCACAGCTGCAGCAGCTCCCTTTGCCCCAGGCCCTTGCGAAACAAAAGTCCTGTAAGTTGGGGCAGGCAGTCGGGGGAGGCAGGACGCTCTAGACCGCCCTCCCGCCCTTTAATCCGTCCCGCCCCCAGCAGAGTTCAACCCAGCCCCACTATGCAGAAAGCGGGACTGCTGCTAGGTGGCTGGACTCGAGCGTGGAGGTGGGTGAGAATGGCCAGCTCCGGAGTGACTCGCCAAAACCCACTCGCAAATAAGGTGGCCCTGGTCACTGCCTCCACCGACGGGTGAGTAGGGGAGCCAGAGTCTCCATCCAGAAACAAGGTTTCTTTAACTCCTGGACTCTTGTCCACAGGCCTCAAATACGGCCAGAGGCCTGCCCGGGGGACATAAAGGAAACCCAGGGTGGATCTGAAATCGCTTCGAATCCGCGACCCGGCCCTGCCACCAGCCAACCCCACTGCCCGGTGGACCCAGGTCCCCATACTTCTAGGCTGCCCCAATCAACAGCTCCACCTAGAGTATGGGAAGACC